TGTAGTCGATTTTCTCGAAAGCTAGAGGAGATAGGAAAAAATGTTTCAGACGAAAGTTTCACGATTTTGATGGAAAAATAAGATACTATTATCAGTTCAATCGTAGATCACTTCTGAGATTTCTTTGTTATGGCCATTTTTTAATGGAAGTCGATTTTTTCGTTCAGTAAAAAGTTACAGCTGTCAATGAGGCGATTACAACGTTTTTGAAATTTTTTTAATTTGATTAATTTTTGACCGAGTTGTAGAGCTCCAAACATCAATAAAAGGAATTAACACTTGATTAACGTGAATCTTCTTGTCTTCTACGATTCAGATTGCTTGATTAATGTGAGTCCCTTTGCCTTTCACGATTCGACAGACTCTTTCATCGAATGAATTCGAATGTTCGAAATTACTTCCATTAGCTTGGATACATAAAGCTAACCTATTTTCGAAATTTCTAAGAGTGTGTAAGACAGCCCGCGCTACATTGTTACAAGCCATACGTATTCTTTCCATCATTTTCTCATTTTAGTTGTAGGCGCATGTTCATAAACTATATTTTTTATAAACCCCCATAAAAAAAGGGATTAGCGCTTGATCGTCAACGTAAATTTTCTCGTCTCCTATGATTCGGGTTAAGTTAGATCAAGTGATCGTGAGGGTCACGTAACAGGTCCATCTCCAATCCATCTGTTATTGTATTCCTGATTCAGGTAATTTCACACTATTAACGCATAAATTACATATTTTAATGCAATGGCGCACCGTCTAGTTGTATCCACATTCTCTATCGTGTATGGAGATCAACATTTTTGAATAATAATAGTAAATGATGCCTGAGAAATTTCAGAAAATTTTCTGTATTGACATTTCCGTCGAAGAAATAAGGGTCAATTAAATAAGGATCAAGGATAATCGTTTACAATCTCAACCAAACGTTCACACTCCACCCATGCTGGTTATCTATTTCTCTATGCGAATGAGGATTTATATTCGACCAATAGTGACAATTATGTCCATTCAATTCATTATTTTGTTGACTTATCGGAGAACATAAAGAAAAAAGTTCGGATCGGATCTGATCATTTGTTGCGTCCATTGATAAAATTGTACTCGCAACTATATATCCTGTTGTGTAAGAGTTTGCATATGTGTTGTGTTTTTATAAAAGTTTTTTTAACGTGATATGATAAAGATGATAGTTCACTTTTTTCAAAATTCTCACGTTCGTTGTTCTCAGAATACCAATTTCTGTAGCCATTTCTCAAGTGCTTGTATGAGAATTGTAATGTCTCGAGATGCTCGGAAGTTCGATATTGAAAGTACGCAATATTTATGTATGGTTCTATAGTCACGCAGTGTGCGTGTGACTGCTCCGAATTGCTTCGAATTTGGTCGATTCCTTATCGACGCGACTCGAGCTCAATTACCCAGCAGCCGCTCAGTCGCTCACATCTCAGTTTCCAAATACATGTATTATTCATTCTTTAGTTAATTCGCGGTCTTGTTCATTGAAACCTCAGTCCCGATACATAATAATTTTGGCGACGAATAATACAAACCCAGATCGGAAAAAAGAAAGCTATGAAGGTAGACGTTGCGGCAGTAATCGGATGAAGAAGTGAGTTAAATGGGTCATTGTGACTAGTATAAGAATGTCGAGTGATGAAAAAACTGGTAGTTCGAAGTCAATCACAATTGACTATGAGAAAACGTCGTGGATCTATGATTTATCTAAAATTAATTGAATTAATTGAATTAATTGAACAATTAAAACAATTAGTTGCGGTACACGCCGATTTAGTGATTGGCGAAACCGATAGCATAGACGCACTTCGGAAAATTTTGAAAAACCACGTACGTAAAGTGAACTTGACAAACAAATTCAGAAACCCGGTAAACTTATTAACGATACCGAGAATTCGACAAGTACAGACTCGACAAGTACAAATACAGTGCAAGTGAAAGGGGTAACTCGCGCGATGGCACAAAGTCATACAAAGTTAATATTCGAACTCGGGAAAGACAACTGGGACACGTACACGAAAAGACTCGAGTTATATTTCATTGCTAATGATATCGATGAAAATAAACAGGATCACAATTTTGTTAACTAAAATCAGCGCTGAAACCTACAAAGTAGTGCGTGATTTGTATGTCCCAGCTAAGCCTGCTTCCAAGGAATACTCGGAAAGTAATGTAATTAGCTAGTAAAAAATCACTTATGCCCTAAACCATCAGAGGCCAATGGAAAGACACAAGTTTCATCTGGCGTAATAGACGGCGACTGAATCGGTAGCGGAATTCGCGGCACGTCTAAAAAATTTGTCGCTATACTGCAACTTTGTTGTGTGAATACGGCAATAAGAGATCAGCTCGTATGTGGATTAAAAGATCACAATACGAAAACCATGCTTCAAAGAAGAAGAACGTACGCCAAAGCGTATAAAATTGCTACCACCTCGGAAGAAGCCGAAAAAACCGCCTCAACCACAGATAAACTGAACTCAGGATCGAGCACAAAAACTGATGTAAATTTCGAATAGACGAAGTAGAGGGGACAAAAACAGCAAGCCAATGGAAGATTTAAGAATCACAATAACAAGTGATTCCTCAAGAAACCAAGCCAAGTAGAGAATTCTAATGGTAACAACCCGAAGAGGTGCTACTGTTGTGGTAAAAGCAACCACATGGCACGTGACTGTTACCATCGGTTTAAGTCGTGCAGTACGTGTAAGAAAAAAGGGCTTGGTAACAGCATGTCAACGAAACAAGTAATAGGGCAACCTTCAACACTTGGATGAAGATGCTGATGGCGGCAAGGAACAAGAGGAGACGATTCCTTTACTCTGGAAGCAGATAACGACGCGAGAATCACAAGGGTCGGCATTGTAAATATGAATTGTAATATCGAAGTGAAACCAATAGCGATGAATGTCAAGATAAACGGAATCAAAGTAAATATAGAAGTTGACACGGACACGTATATGTCAGTAATTTCGTGAGAAAAGATCGATTATTCCCTGCGATAAAGATTAATGAAATAAGCAAGAAGTTAAACGCATACAGTAAGATTCCACTCGAATAGGATGGATTCCTAGATAATTTGCAAAGAATTTAAGGGGATTAAAGCAACGTTAAGTATGGCAAGGTCCGGACCGACGTTAAAGTCGTCAATGGTTGTGTGTATTCGGAATGTGGCCTTTAAAATTAGAGAAAGAGTTAGTAAATGATTAAAGCAATTGTAATAAGATAATTGATTTTGACGGCGTTGAAGATTTTTAAAATGAGTTTCCACGGTTGTTCGGTCCAGGTCCAGGAGTATATAATAAAGGCATGCTCAAAATCATTTTGAAAGAAAATGTGAAATCGGTGTCACTCAAGGCAAGAAGACTGCCTCTTGCGCTGATGGAAAAAGTAGAAAATAAATCGATTAAAATTAAAGCATCTTGAGAAAATTGACGTCACAAGTGGTCAACGCCGATAGTACGGTGATAAAGAAGGATAGCTCAATTAAAATCTGTGATAACTTTAAACTCACATTAAACCCGGGCTTAGTAATTGATCATCATCCGATTCCATTAATAGATGAGATTTTTGCAGCGCTGAGTGACGGTACAAAATTCTCTCAGATTGATTTGGAACACGCATAAATGCAGATTGAGGAAAGTTCGAGGAAGTGAGAAATTATTTAACTATTGTTACGCATAAGGGGTTATACAGATATACCAAAATGACTAAGGGAATAGCCTCAGGACCGGGCGATTTTCAACGGAAAATCGAGCAATGTCTTGCCGGAATTGATAACGTTATTCCGTACCTTGATAATATTTTTTGTACCTGCAAAAATGACGATGAACTTGCAAACGCTTCGTAGGGTCTTCAAACAGCTTGAAGATAGGGCTAAGAATAAATATAAACAAATGTGATTTTTTTAAGGAACGCTTGGACATTCTCAGGTTTGTGATCGATAAAAAAAGGATTACACAAATCTATCACGAAAATTAAAGCTATTGTTGACGCCCCGAGGCCCAAAGACATGAAGTGATTGCAATCATTCACAGACATAATAACGTACTATGCACGATTTTTACCCGATAGAGCCAATAAATTGAAATCACTATACGAGTGTATGAAAGAAAATAAATTCACTTGGTCAAAAGAATGCGACATCGCGTTTGAACGGATAAAAACAGAGTTGACGTCATCAAGAGTTTTGACTCATTATGATAGGAATGAGGAGATTGTGTTAGCTTGTGATGCTTCGTCCTATGGCTTATCTGCGATTTTATCACATAAATACTCGGACGGGTCGGAGAAATCGATAGCTTACGCGTTCAAAATAATATCAGCAAAAGAGTTACATCGAGCACCAATTGATAAGGAAGCCAGTGCGATAATATTCGGATTTAAAAAATTTTATAATTACATTTACAGTAAAGAGATTATCTTTATTAAGAGATTAAGGACGGATCACAAGCCTTTGATTTATATCTTTGGTCCAAAACAAGAGATTCCGTTAATGATAACTAGCAGATTACAAAGATGGTCATATTTCCTTTCGAGATTTACATATAGAATCGAATACATTAGGTCCGGACAAAACGGTAATTATGACGCACTATCCAGGCTCCCTGTCAATGACTCGATAACAGTTTTCGAGAGCGAGTACACTGCAGTAAATTATGTAAGCGAGGTACTGCAATCATTAAATGCGATAGAAATTGCGAAAGAAACAAAATGCAATGAAGTACTGAGTAAAATTATAAGGTATGTGAATGATGAGTGGCCAAATGTGAATGAGCTAAGTGAGTATGAACAAAAGTGTCATGTAAAAAGGGAATTAATGAATTAATAGTGGAAAAGGGGTGCCTTTTCTGGGGATACAGAATTATCATCCCAGAAAGAGTGAAGGAAATAATGCTGCGAGAGTTACACGCATCACTGTTAAGATGAAGACGATAGCAAGATTATATATATAGTGGCCGAGTATTGATAAGGAAATTGAACAGATAATGGCGTTTTGTATGGCGTGTGCGCAAGAATGGAAAAAACCTCCAAATGTACCGCTAACACCTTGGCCTTGGCCCGATAAGTTTTGGGCCAGAATTCATTCCGATTTTTTAGGTTCCTTTTTTGGTCATATGTTTATGATCATTGATGCTTATGCTAAATGGCCGGAAGTAATCGATATGCGCAAATGCACTCAGACTTCCGAAGTAATAAAAAAATTTAGAAACTTATTCGCTCGGTTCGGCCTGACACGGCACCTGGTTACCGATAACCAGGTATCCAGTACACAAGCTTAGAGTTTAAAGAATTCCTTAAAAGCAACGGAGTCAAACATAGCTTTTCCGCGCCACATCATCTCGCGACGAATGGTACAGCCGAAAACTTTGTGGAAACATTCAAAGACAAAGTAACTAAAATAGTAAAGAGCGGTAAATCTTGAGTATGCGATAGATTTGTTTTTATTCAATCACCGAGCGACGGAGCATTGCACGACTGGTCGAAGTCCAGCATATTTGATATATAAGCGAGCTTAGAACTCTACGAGCTTAGAACTCGATTCGATCTACTTAAACCTGACGTGAGCGATATGATAAACACGAAGCAAATCGCACAGATAGTAGGCAGAAAAGATAATCGTAATGTTAATTTCAATGTAGGTGATGTCGTTGTAGACGATTTTAGCGTATGCAATGAAAACAAAAAATTAAAGACAAAATCATAAAGAGATTATCACTTGACATTTTAGGTGGAGATTGCGTCCGGTAAAATCTGGAAATGTCACGTAGATCAAATTATACGATTTGACGATGCAAGCAACACACGAAAAAATGAGTGCGATTGCGAAGAGAAAAATATTAGAAGTCCGGAAAAGGTAATTCGAAGTTCGGAAAGGCTCAAGTAAAGCCAAACAAGAAGGGGAGGAAATTGTAATGTCTCGAGATGCTCGGAAATTCGATATTGAAAGTACGCAGTATTTATGTATGATTTTATAGTCACATAGTGTGCGTGTAACTGCTCTAAATTGCTCCGAATCTGGTTGATTCTTTACGACGCGACTCGAGCTCAATTACCCGGCAGCCGCTCAGTCGCTCACACCTCAGTTTCCAAATACATATATTATTCATTCTTTAATTCGCGGTCTTGTTCATTGAATCCTCAGTCCCGATACATAACAAGAATTAAGATGAATAGCTGCCAAGACAAGCACATATACATGTCTTCATTGTATTCATGATATGTTCTTCTATGCGAAAAATGGTCTTGAATTCTTTGTTCAATGTAACGGATTAGGATGTTGTTCTCTTTCGGGATAATGATTCTGGTAAACTCGCGAAGCTTTATGATAATTTGTATGACATTCTCCAAGATCAAGAAGAATATCAATATTTTCCTAGGGAGAATAATCAGCCATGAATGCTGAATATAAACTGTAGAATATAAACGATTTTTGTGATTTTCAATTCGGTTGATGTTAGACCTCCAAATTACAGACCTCCAAAGTTTTTTTACAGCTGTTGATGACCTTGAATCTGATCATGGCATTTAGGTTCATTTCAAGATCATTTAAGAATGTTGTGATTTGGAGAATCAATAAAATACTGACTTTTACGTTACACATTTATTCGTGATCTTAAGTAAATTCGATCTCTCAAAGTCTCTTCTTACTCATTTACAATGGTCTGTTTTGAAAATAATAACAAATAATGTATTGAAATTTACAAAGAAAGTTTGTGAGAGTATAATCATATTTTTATTTTAAATATAAAAATGAATTTTTAGTATAAAACTTAAAATAAGAGGAACTCCAATGATCTTGACATATGATGTCAAAGTCATGATTGTGAGCAATATTCCAAAGGTTTTAGTCAGTCTGACACTTTGGACAATGCAAATGCCGGCGGTACTGTAACTTCGAAGCGTCATAACTTGGAAAATACTTAATAAAAAATAACATTATAGTTTTAAAAAAGTTTTGAAGTCAACTATAAGAATATGTCATAAAAATGGGGAGTTCAATTAAAAAAATTTTAGGTAACCTTGACTTAATCTTAAAGATATCTTCTCGA